GGGGGGGGGGGCTCAACAGATACGACGCTGAGCGTGGAGGTGGCGAGCTCCATCGAGTGTAGCCCAAGGCACATTACACGGGGCACGTATCTGTCTGTCTGACCCAAAGTGTGTGCACTGTGTACCCGCGAAAAAGTTCACGGTGTGACAGTGGCCTTTATTTATACTTCCCCCGAACATTGCTCAGCATTGACAGTGACGCCCTCTTTCCTCTCTCCCTCTCTGTGAAACCATAAACCCGAAAAACACATATCAAAAACACGACGCTGTGTCAAGTTAAACACGTTTACGGTGGTGTGGTATTCCCCGGGCTGATGGATCATCCACAAAGTACGTCCGTCTTTCTCATTTACGACTTACTGCCTGCCTAGTACGTACCATGCTCTGCTAGCTCTCATAGCGCCTGATGGGTAGGCAACATCTTGCCCGCAGTGCAGGCGTGCATCGCGGCGTGGCCTACCCTGAGTCTCGCAGGCGCCTGCTCCCGTAATTCGACGAATTAATCCGAGAGAAACGGGCGTACTTTCTGGACGATCCCCAACTGCTTCACGGTTCCGCTCAACTCGTTTGTCCGATGGGCGTTGCTATGACGTCGGTACAGAGCTGCCTCCGCCACCGCGGCTCGCCCCGGAGGAGTGTGACGCGATGTTCCCAACCACCGCGTCTCTCGCTCGCACTCGCGCCAACTACCCGGCGTCCGTTTCGCGAAGCAGTGGCGCCGCTTCCGCGAACGTCTTCGTAGAGATGTTATTCCATCCGTTGGGCCCGGCGGGGCCCCGCGGCCACCCGCGGCGACCTGGGTCGGCCGGGCGGCAGGACCGCAGGACCGCGGCACCTCGCAGCACTCAGCACTCAGTCGTCTCCGACAGCGCTCCGAGATGAACGTGCCGGTGAGTGGTTGGGCGGGCCTGGCCGCGCTCCTCGAGAGCTTGTCCTTGCCCACGGCAGAGGTGTCAGATATGACCGCGTCATGTTGCTGCAGGTCGTCCTCCTGGTGGTGGCGGCCCTGCTGGGCTCGCCGGTATCCGGCGCGGCGTTCTTCTGGCAGTACCCCGCCGACCTCAACATGAGCAACGTCGCGACGACCACCGCCTCGCCGTCCGCCAGCACCCCGACCACGCTGTCGACGGAGGCGCCGACCACGACCGGGCCGCGGCAGCCGACCCCGGAGGAGGAGGCCGACTGTACCTCTCAGATTGGCGTCGTCGAGAACGGCGTGCACATCAGCACGATGCGGAAATACGACATGGAGAAGGTATGTATGTGAAGCCTTAGTTAAAACTTGGTCGACATGTGAGGTCCGTCTGACAGGTGGGGCGGAGTATGCCCTCTTGCGTTGCCTAAATTCAGGCGAATATTGCTGAACTTTAAGCTCTCTTATCGGACGATTTCGACTGAAAACTGTCGGCCGGGAATTTTAGCGCCTTCATAAATTAAGCGGACTGACTGTTATTTCGCGCAGATACTCGAGGAGCACGGCGGGGCGCCTGGCAAGCTGAACGTTACGTGGAACATGGACGTCCCGGAATTCCCTGTTGAGGACCCCACGGTGAAGCCTCTGCCAGACACTGTCAACACGACGTTCTGGGTGTACGACTACAAGTAAGTTTGGTTTGATTGATGATGTGCCTATCTTCCAGCAAGGTTACAGGGAATTCCAGAGT